TTGCTTAGAGAGGTTTGGTGTGAATTTATACTGCTGAATGCCTCACATTTCTTCGTTGGGTTGGGATTAGTTTCTGTCACACGCAAGAGCACGACACAACAGGGGAGAGAGGAGACATTTTGCCAGAATCTTTTCTTCCCCCTCACTTCTGCATTCCCCTCCTCACTATCCCCCAGAGAAGAGAGCAGCTTCTGAGCCAAGGAGCTCCATTTCCAGTGGAGAAAAACATTAGCAACTTGCAATCAAAACTGAAAAAACGTTACAACTCGTGGACTTCTTTGGATTAGGAAAAGGGAAACCCTGACCTAGTACAAGGAATACACCTTTATCTGAAAAAAAAAGGCAGGGAGGGAAGAGGCTTTTAAACTATCTTTGGGCAACAGCTGATGGTAGGCCCCAGTGTGCCTATCTACGGCTAACATAGATAGTCACTGTTGCAGCAATAATTCCAGAGAATGAAGCAGTGTCAGTAATTTTCCTCCCTCGAGGCCAGCAGCAGCAATCAATGGTTTAGTTTTGCAGATTTAAAAAGGGGAGAAGTAGTCCCAGCACCTCAGTCTGAAGTGAAGGCGCTTTCACTGCATGTGTGCTGAGCACTGCCTTCTCCATGGAGTACAGGGAGATAAAGATAGATTTTAAATTCATCTTTCTTGCATTGCGGCACTGTGTATGTAAGAAATACTGTGCATCGCTCAGCTCTTTGCAGGCAATGTAGCACCGGGCAAATGTACGTAACCCCCTGGCAGGGGAGAATCAACCCAGGATCTCCTTCTGCTTTTGCTGAGCAAAGCTTGGCATCCCATCCCCTGGCACCAACAGGTCAGTGCTCTTGCTCACATTCTCCCACTTAGGTAACAAGTGGAGAAAGGGGCCTGGTTAGACCTTGCCTGCACATTTCCCTGCCTGACTGACACACCTAATGCTGTGGTTGACAGGACAGCTCTTCACTCCCTTCCCTCTTTTGATTCTGGCTCCTGCCTGGCTTTGGAGCTTGGCTCCTGATGGCTTTTGATTCCTTGTTTCAGACTGTCCAGATGCTCTCAATAAGTCCTTTGCTGAGCAGGGAATTAGGCAATGGTCAGTACAGAGCACAGAAGATAACCGAGAAAGATGAGGGAGACCAATATTATTACCGCTAATAGAGCGGAAAGAAGAGACTAATTTAACAATCACCATGACCAATAAAGGAGAATAACTGACTTTTTGCCAGCACAGAGAGATGATCTGGACAAACATGAGGAAATGGATCACTGCAGCTGTGTCTGGTTTGGTTCGGAGGATGCGAGAGTGAAGGAAGTCAAGAGGAGAAAATCACAGCAACCAAACCAGAAGGCAGTTAGGGCCGCACGGTCATATTTGGGTATCATGGAAGGAGTGAGAAATCCAGGTTTTATAGGTGTTGTGCTGCATCACGGGAAAGATTATGAGCTTATCAAGGGGGAAATAGGGACCATGATGAGAATTTGGGGGAAAGTCATTAAGCACACATGCTTTAAGTTCTGTTCAAAACTTTACTTCTGAACTACTTTGTGTTTATCTTAAAGAAACAGGGGCGGAGGGTAGACAGGTAGGGTCAGGTAGAGAGAATATGACTGAAAGTCAAAGAAAATAAGAAAGAAAAAGGAACTTTTTGTCACTTTCTCAGTCAGCATACACCTATTGCATTCACTGATTGCTCCGTGTAGATGATTCCTGCGTTATTTAGGATAGGGCTTAATCCCAGACTACCGGTAAGTTTTTCCTTTCCCAATGCCCATCTTCCTTTCTTTGCGCACACAGCACTTAGGTCCCCCCACCCTACCATGGTATCCGAGATAATCAGGTAGGTCCCTCAGAAACCCTACGTCCTCCCAAACTGTCTTTTCCAGCTCCTCCTCACTACCTACCTCATAAATGCGCAAGAGCCAAGCTATTCTTCCTGTACAAGGTTAGACATATTGTTCACTTTGAACATTTTTCCATCTAGGAAGGCAGTCCTACGCCAGCTTCGCATTGTGTCTCTTTTCCATGTATATTTTTAGGAAACCTGACTTCTGATACAACTGGCCTATTTCTCAGCAATGTCTTTAGATTGCACCTGGGTTGCATTAGCACTGCTAGAGGCACTTTACTAAAGTCCAAAAGGAGGAGGTAAGTTGCACGGGAGGCAGGGGAGAACTATCTGCACCGCATGCAATACACATGTTAATATGTATTATGTATGGCTATATTTTATATATATATATATATATAATGCACAGCTAATGTTTTCCACTTCCCTCTCCTTAATATTGAAAATGTCTCTTAACAGGGTTCTGCTCTAGTCTCCTTACCCTCCTTACATTTGATAGGGTATGGAATAAGCAACAGTCAGCCATTTTTCCCCTGGCTGGGGGATGCAGGAGTCAGCGCGATGCCTGGTACATCTGTGACATTTAACCGTCCTCCCTCCATGCTCTTTTCAACCCTCCCCAGCTGCAACCAAGCCAGTGGGGGAGGGAAACCCTCAGAATCAAACCCAGAAAGCACTCAGTGAAAACAAATAAGGTTGCTAAGGAACCATAAAGATAAACTCAAACCCACAAAATCCAGGAAACAGAAAGGAGTTCATATGCTCTTTTCAAACTCACACCAGTCACTCATCGCTCTCAGCCTGTCACATTATACTAGCACAGAGCTGAGGCTATGGTTATACATCGGGCTAGATGTATATCATACAGACTGATTCCCAAAAATGTGGGAATCCCAAGAAGATACCCCGTCACACCGTTCAACAATGTCTACCTCTCTTCCTACTTTTTTTAATTACGCCACACATAAAAAGAGCCAAGTAAACTTACAGTGTGGGTAGACTCTAAATTCTGTGTATATCATGAGTTACCTATAATGACAGTAGCCTGGTTAACAGTAGCAACGAAGATGCCACCAGCATGGCTGGGCAACGCCAGCATACAAACCAAGGGTCCACAGAAGGCACAGATCGTACCCTCCCTGCTGTTGCCATCCTGCCAGCCACACTAAAGATGGCAGGGCCTTGACTGCCAATTTCCAATTCCACCTCCATTTTACTGCACAGGGACAGCCTCAGGAGCCATGCTTTGCCCACAGGGATTTTCTCAAAACCAAATTCATTACCACGCTCAGCCCATAAATGAAGCTGGGAAGCTCAGTGTGCTGGGAGGCAAGAAGATGAAAGCCAAAGGAGAGGGGTGAACATGCCAGTTACGCCTTGCCTGCGCCACGCAGACCCTGGGGCCATGTTTACGTTGTTTTCAGAGCCTGGTGAACTCTGGAAGCAAGGGGCAACTGAGGCGAGGCAAGCCAAGCCCCTTTCATCAGCTGCCCTTTGAGCACCGCATGTTCCGTTCCCCACACACACAGCTACATTGCAGCACCTGACAGATTTCCTCACGCTTTAAAAGACTCTGGGAAATAAGAACGTGCCACTGGAAAGGTTATATTTAGCCCTCCTATCTCCATTCACCTTGAGTTAAATCAGATACTTGGAATGTAGCGATCGCCTACCATGCAGAGGTGCAGTTGTACGCACCGTACTTCTGAAATCGCATCAGCCACCAGTCTTGTGGCTTAATCGTTGCTTCACAGCAAGGTTGAAACTTCTCTGAAAGAAATGGCATGAACTCAGTTGCTAATTTGGCTTCATCCTATTCTCATTGTACAGAGATCAGAGCAGTTCATTTCTGCCCTGAGAACAAAACAAGACAGCATTTGCCACTTCCCACTCAGTGTTCGCACCGAAACGGCACCACTTTGAGCAGTACAAAGTATTTATTAGAAACAGAGCAAATTTTAATCCTTGCTAACACCACAACTTTAAAATGATTAGTATGAAAAAGCATAGCCTATGTACCCTTACGCTACGTCCAGGTGAATTTCTCCTTGCCTCACATACCCAACGCGTTTTGTCCACCACGGGGCTGTATTTCACAAGTACAAACAGGAAGAACACGAGGACACTCACACGAACCGCCACAACTGTGGGACTTCTGGCACTTCAGGTTCCACTTCACGTCAGCAGAGACAGAAGACCCTGCCAAAGGGTGAATAAACGCACCAGGTTTCTCCCCATTGACCAACTTCCTGTGCTGGAGGACTTCAAGGACTTTGCATCTCTCTGAAGCTGCGCTAGCCCGCTAATAAAAAAAAAAAAAATATCGGGAAATACATTGAAGATAAATGCCTGTGCTCTCAAAAAGATCCCAAACTTTCCAAGCCCTTTCTTTTTCACACCACAGGTTTTAATCAAACCAGCACAGCAAGAACATCACGTGTGGCATTTGCACAGCCGCAGTTATGGCTCAGTTCTCGCCTAAGGAGAGCAAAGCTGCCCAACGGCTTCCATCCGGGATGCAGAAGACAAGTAAAAATAACAAGCCTCCTATTTCTAACATGACACTTCAGCTGATTACACTGAGAAAACTAACAAGAAAAGATAAAGTATTAAAAACGTAACTAGGATGAGCAAGCTTGCGGTGTTGATGATCCGGGGTGTACACTTTTATCCTAATTATGCTACGGGGCAGAATAATGGCTTCCAAAGAGACAAGCAGAAGGAAAAAACAGCAAGGTTTTTCAGCATGTTCCAAAACATAGAACACCACACCAAAGTCTCACTAAGCTCTTAAACTCTCATCACCTTTAGCCAAGTCTTTAATTGAGTCTTCGCTAACTCATGAGCACAACCCTGGGAGGAAAGCAGGGTAAGAAGAAAAAAGACTTGTACCTTTCACGGTTGCTTCACATACTTCCATTCTGGGCACAAATCAAGCATCAATGACTGAAATTCAAACTGCAAAGGTTTCATTGATGCCTAAAGCAAACACCAGGTACTTTGCTGCCATGGCGATGCACACGGTAAACACACCTTAATCACTCCTGATTCCGAAAGTGCGAAGCAGGGCTTGAACAGTCTGGCATCAGACACGTATTGCGAGCTCACAGGTTAGAACATGGTTTATGGTTTATTGAGTTGTGCAAAAACTGAAACACATAAACAATAAATGAACAGAGAAGTTGTGTCGCCTATGCTACGCATATACACTGCTCTGGTCCAGTGCAGGATTTATAAGATGAGCTGGTTGATCAAGGGTTCTCAACGTAATAGCCACAAAACTGCTGGGGAAATGAGTCACCTGCTTGGCTAGCATATGTCTGCTAACACCAAGGGAATAAATACTCAGCTTCGGAAAAGCAAGCAAGTTATATCACATTTTTTATTTTAAATAACCAAGTTCCATGTTAAAGCTCAATACCGCCATGTCCCCTTTAAAATGACAAATCATTAAAAAGATTTTTTTTATAAAACTAAAACTAACAGCTGCTGAATCTTTATGTCTGACACATTTATATTACAATATATGTACTGAATTTGAAGGCACAAAGAGTTTTCATAGCTGTTCCAGACTATCAGCTGATTTTGACTTTTTGGGACTGGCCCCACCATCTTCAGCTGACTTCTCTGCTGGCCTCTTTTTTAACCCTTTCATTTTTCGCGTCTGCAGTTTACCAAGATCTTGCTTCTGCATGTGGATTCGACCGTAAGTTGTACCGAACACATCATGGGAGATATTCTTTTTCTTCTTCGGCTGTAAGGGAAGAACATCATTAGTATTTCTGAGTAGAGTGTGCCAGTAGCTCTGGTGAGAAGCCAGGTATCTGGCCTTACCATCACCACGTCACCAGTAATTAAAATACCAAATCAAGTGCCAAAAAGCAAAGCTGCATACACTGTTTGGAGCTTAGAGATGAAGATTTGTTCTGCTCTTACACGCTACCAGATGAGAGCCAGTAAAGCCAGCTGATCACCACAAAAGTGCTACAGCCCCAGAAATAGCAGCTGGCCTATATAAAAGTAAGTTTTGGTCAAATACACAGTAGTTAATACTTCAGCTTTTGCTCTTCTTCACTTAGAGGTCTGGAAGTAATATACTTGCCAAGGTACGTACCTTCAGGGCTTTTGGTTGTTTTAAAGACAGGTTATAAAGGTCGTCTGAAGCTAAATGTGTCCTCCTCATAACCAGGTCTAATGAAGGTCCCATCTCTTCCAGCTCAATTCTTGGTATTTTACAGCCAGATTTCTTCAGAAGCACCCTAGAAGGGAAAAACAACCCAGACCAACATTGTCCTCTGCGATAAAGACTTATCCATCCTCCTAAAGGGCAGATTCAATCCTGTAGTTCAGAAGACTATTGAAAACAATTGCCATTGCTAACTGTTATTGAGAAAGATGTTGATAACAATTTATAATATATTAAATCTCTCCCATCACAATCTGAACACATGCAAAATATAAGCTGGCTAAGGTAACTTACTTTTTTTTTTTTAAAATCATAGAACGTTTTGGGTTGGAAGGGACCCCTAGAGGTCATCTAGTCCAACCCCCCTGCAGTGAGCAGGGACACCACTAACTCGATCAGGTTGCTCAGAGCCCCGTCCAACCTGGCCTTGAATGTTTCCAGGGATGGGGCCTCCACTACCTCTCTGGGCAACCTGTTCCAGTGTTTCACTACCCTATGAGACTAGTATTATCAGTATTATTGTTAAAACTCAGTCCCAGTGCCCTGGAAGCCGTATCACTCCTCAAATTCAAAATAGTGCCCTGGGTATTAATGGACATGAAAAATATTTACTATCATTTACAGCAGAAGAATCTGAGCCCTAACCAAAAAAGTTTTTTGTTTGCTTGTTTTGAAGAGTAAGACTGATAAAACTGGTTTTGTTCTAAGAGAAATCAAAATCGCACGGAACACAAGCTATGAATGCTCACAGCCTGCTAAGGCAAGGCCATGAACTGTGAGGGTGAACGCCAACACAGTGAGAAAGATCTCCTCGTCCTGCCTTTTCCTATTTTCCCTCACGTATCGCTGGCTGCAGCCTACCACCCATCATTCTCCAACAAACACGAGTGAGGAGAGTCCTAGAAATTGGCCTGAGAACAGACTAAGTCTATGAAGTCTAAGGTTACTCTGAATTCACCAAGTTAATTCATGCCACCTTACTAATCCAACCACAGGAAAGAGCGATCCTCCTAGCTAGAAGGGGGAGCTCAACGAGGCAGGAAGCAGCAGGTTGTACTGGGTCAGGCTGAGATGGAGTTAATTTTCCTCATGGCAGCCCTCATAGCGCTGTGCTTTCTGTTGGTACACAGAAAGGTATTGTTAACACAGCAGTGTTTTGGCTACTGTGGAGCAGTGGTGGCACAGCATTAAGGCTGTCTCTCCAACACTTCCCCCACCACTACCAGTGGGCTGGGAGGGGACAAGGAGGGGACACAGCCAAGACACCTGACCCAAACTGACCAAAGGGATATTCTGTACCATACGACATCGGCTCAGAGATAAAAGCTAGGGGAAAGGAGGAGGAAGGGCGGGCATTTGGTTTTTTAGGACATTTTGTCTTCTGGAGCAACCACTACACATTCTGAAGCCCTGCTTCCCAGGAAGTGGCTGGACATCGCCTGCTAGCGAGAAGTAGAGAATAAAATCTTGTTTTCCTTTTGCTACTGTGTGTGGTCTTTGCTTTTGCTTTTACTAAACTGCTTTTAAAAATCTTGACCCACAAGTTTTTTCTTTTCCATCTCATTCTCTCCCCGCCTGTCCTGCTGGAAAGGGGAGTAAACAGAGCAGCTTGGTGGCACCTGGCATCCAGCCAAGGTCAATCCACCACACAGGTTTAGGGCTTAAGTGTTTTCCTTCTGTTGTACAAGTTACTGCATTATGCTGGAATGCCTCTACACGTTACACGTTTTAAATGCAACAAACTATTGCTCCAGCCCGTTCAATTACACAACTACAGGCTACATTTGAGGAAACATTGACAAGAGTACCAAAAAGAAAACTAATAGATAAAACACAATACTCACTTATAGCTTCGCATGTAAATTTTCCCATCTACAGCTGTGAAATGCAAAACATACTCTAAACCAGCCAGACGAATACTGGGCACACTGGGACCTCTGAAGAAATCTGTAAGAATATTGAAAAATAAATAAATGCCAGGTTTCTTGGCTGAAAACCAAACCAACAAGTGACTGTAACAAATGGGTTTATTTCATAATGGACCCACATCACATCACTGATGCAAACTTCTTGGCTATATATTTTTACTGCATCTAACTAAGCAAGGCTACACGTGAGATGCTTTAGAACAGCCGAATCCATATGTTTAATGGGAATCTCATGCAACAGCTGCTACTTAAAACTGCAGCCCAGCCAAAACACAGGAGAGAAATCGAACGTTACAGGTATTAGCTCCCACACTGGTGAAACCAAACATGTGTAGAAATCCCAACAGGAACGCAGTGATTCCCAGAGATAATTTGGTAGCGATACACCTGCTACATAGAAGTGTGTGGAGAAGAGCAAATATACTTTCAGAGCAGTAACATAGTTTTATTAAGCTAATTGGGATAATTGCATTGTCTATATTCTAAAGTCAGCTCTAAAGTCAGCAAAATGAAATGGATCTTGGTTTGTGTTTGTTGGCCAGTTCACACCCAGCTAAACATAGATCAATACAGAGAAGCCATTAGTTCAGGTATCCGTTTAAAGACGTCATTCAACAAACTGATACTTAAGATTCTTAGTCAGAGCCAGATTTGGACGAGTACAAAGAAGGATCAAAACCAGCACAAATCAGATCAAAACTGTATCTTGTCTACTCTTACCTACAGTTTCTCTCACTGACTTCAGGAAAAAGTTTAGATATATCATTTCTTTCATACCTCCCGCACAACAAAGCACTTTGGTTCTTTAGGTGAAGTAGTATCTGTCATTACAATTAATGTTTTCTTTATTTAATAAGCAACAGGTAACTATAAAAATAAGACACTTGAAATAGTTGCTCAGTTTGCAAAGAGAACACTGAAATACAGGTTAAATACAAAATGATCTGTCTCTAGCGAAGTTCTTATATCAGGCTATGAAAAAAATACTGAGAGCTTGCAATAAGCACAGCAATCTGTCCAACATATGCAGAGGGTGGAGAAAGAATGTGACCTTGACTGAGGGAACAAGGTGTGCAAATAAACATGACAGGGCAATGCTGAAACATAGGAGAGCTGCTAACAGACGCAAAATACATCAGTCTTTTCCGTTCTGTCCCATTTTCAGATCCCTCAGCTGGTTTGTCTTTTCCTTCGCTACCTTTTGCAAGAGTATCAGCACTGGAGTGACATCCAAAACAAAGTCTTGCTGGCAGATATCAGCTGGAGTCTATTCAGGAAAATTCCTTGGTCAATTAAATATTCTCTCTCTCCTCCTCTTGTGAGTTGAGCTTGTAGTTAGAGGGCAAGTTGCAAAAAAAAAAAAAAAAAAAAAAAAAAAAATTTTGTTCCCTTCTGGCATATATTTTCCCTTTGACCAGTTCTCTGTGGGTACACAAGCTTACACTTACAGTGCTTTTATTGGCAACACCTCCCTTTCATATTTTCCTGTGGCAACATACATCTTTTTACCCACAGGATGACCTCTTCCAACAAATGCAGGTGGTCAGGAATTTCTGTTTCCTGGCAATGCTGAACAGCTGCAGAAACCTTACACTTCAGTATAAGTTTTTTTAATGTACTCTTAATTTACAACTCCTGCTTTGGTTGGACTAGAGACTTGCTTTCTCCTTTCTTTCCATTCCTAGTTCTTTCTCCTCCTTGTCCTCAACACATTTCCAGAACTTTTAATTTACCTTTTCCTGCAGAGAGCTTCACAGGACCTTACCATTTCCAGATTAAATTCCTAAATTATTTTGGAACACGAGCCTATACTCTTCTTTTTGTATCAATTCATATCCAAAAGCTGGTAACGCTGTAACCTATGTAGCTATGGTTAGCATTAGCGGAGTTCAAACCACCCCAGACGTTTCTCAGCCATCCCCTTTCTTGGCTGGAAGGAACTCACAAATCTTGAGATGCTCAAAAAAAAGTCTGTGTGAGGAAGGCTGTATGAAGAATCAGCTTATGGTCAATCTAAAACTGTAGAGGTCTCCTGGAAACCAACATTTTAGGAAGTGTGTAAGCAAGTCACATAGCACCTAGCCATTTTTAGGATGGAATGGGTATGCAATAACAGAACTAGCAAGCAGGAAGTGTTGTAAGAGAGAAAACATTTTTATAAATACAAGCATAAAAAGTTACTAGAATTTCATTAACTGCATTCCAAAGACTTAAGCAGTAAATGAATTCCTACACTACCATATCAGCAGGCAACAGCAACCAAAAGAGAAAGAATGGGATGTCTTCATCTTCCGGGACTCTAAAGAAAAATATAGCTGCTATTTATTTCTCCTAAATAACTTCTTCTGCTTCACCATTTAAGCAGACTATAGGGTTTGGTTACCATGAAGACAATAATTCACACCCTTGCCTTTAATTTTACAAAGAAAGTGCTGTAAGATGATATTCCGAACATGCATAAATCCTTTTGATACCACAAAAGCCAAGGAAAGCTTGGTTGTCCAGCAGCATCACTGGCATCATGTTGCTTTGGCAAGAAGCTGTTAGCTATCTAATATTCCCTCTGGGGTCCCAACACTACTGCTACAGTAACAAAGTATTTGCTGTTGTTATAAAGACATTTTTCTCTTTCTTTGCAATACAGTGACTGGCAGCTTAAAAGCACTATCTTTTGCAGGAACAGAAAGAATCAGTTCTTCCCTATCAGTTAAGGGCAGTTTTGAAGCGGGTCAAATTATTACCCAACCAATTTTAACTGGTTAGTGATACCCTCAAGCCTTTACACTCCTTAACCTCTTCCCTTCTCCATTGTTTTACACCTAGGTATTTCATAGAAGTCAGCAGAACATTAAGACCTGGAGTACATTCAAGAAGATTGGGTGTTGATTTGAGTACATCTGACTGCAGAGTCATTAAAAGCAAATAAATAGGAGAGGAGAAAGGGCAGATGAACATCAAAAGAAATAGGACAGGAAAGACTAGCTAGTTATTTGGCAACCATCTAACAATGCATGCCTTCCATTTAAGGTATGAAGCTGTTTGATCACGGGGTACATGAGCACATCTGGATGCCAAGCACCAAGACTGTGCAGATGCCTGAACAAGATACACTTCGGAAAATAATGCACCTGCTTCCTGCAGTGTAAGTATTCACTTGGAGTGACACAAACATGCAGCATTAAAACTCACTTATCTTTGTATTCAATATTTGCTCACCTTGAAAGGTTTGTAAGCACAGTTACTAGCCTTTCATCTATCCCAAAAAAACACTCAGCTGGATTGAGAGAATGCAAATTGTCTACTCTCCTGCTCCCTTTTCAGTCTCATTCCAGCTGAAACATCTTGCTTTAAAGAATTACAATACTAAGGGAAAAAAAAAAAAAACAAAACATATCTCAGTTTTAAGGTCTGTTTCTAAAGAGCAATCATTTCTCAGTTTGCCTAGAAAAAAAGAGCCCAACTAGTATTTATTATATAAAAGTGAGATCTTGCAAAGCTGTAAGATTATGAATCTGTCCAACCCAAGAATGGAACCGAAAGAACAAGACTATTCTTATCGGGCCAGTTTCAGTATTTTACCAGAGCTTAAGAGAAAAAAAAAACAAAGTAATCTACTTCTAGGAAACCTATTAAAAAGAAAAAACACACCACCCTACTTACTAGATCTAATTCTACCAAGTGAGACATATTTTTAAAGTGTCAAGAGATACTGAACCATGACTTCCATGTCCCAAAAAGCTACCCTAAGAAAAGTGTAATCATTTTTTCTAGTTCCCCAGAAAAAAAAACACACGTGCTTTATCTTCCAGAGCCTCCAACCTTGAGACAGTAACAAACTTTATGCCAGTTTGTCTACTAAGCTCCAAGCCTGCCTTGAAGTTATGACACAGCTATTATCTACAGCTGATTTTTACTGCACGTGTTCTTTCTAAGTACTCTAATCAACAGCACTTTTGTTCAAATTGGGGTCAAAATTCCAAACGAAAATGGTTTCTTTATAAAAACAAAAGCTCAATTATACCAATTTGTCTTTTCTGTAAGCAAAACCATCCCACTTTCTGAACTTAAAAGCAATGATCCAGTACAAGGTAAAGACTTTTTGAAAAATGCCAGTTTTCCTACAATCAAAGTAATGAATTTTAGTGAACACAAAGTTTCAACTTCAGAGTCTTTTAAGCTAGTCTTTCTCCCCTCCCCCCAACAGTCATAATGATTAGTTAACTTTAATTTCATGTGACATGAAACTTGGCAAGTGCCTGTTCTTGTTTTCTTTCTGTGCTGAACATAAGCAAACATTTATTGACAAACCAGCATTTCCCAACAGATCATACTACTACAGATTTATGCAACGCTACTGCTCAAATAATCAAATTACTGACCAATAAGAAGGCTCTTCAGTCTTCTGTATTCTTCACTTACATCAAACATGTCACCAGCAAATATCAACATAGGTTTTGTTCCTTCAGGACATTTACTGTTCTACAGAATAAGAATTTTAAAACGGAACAAAAATTCAGACCGTGTTAGTGAACGTATTATTAATTTAATAGGTGTTTAGCCATTCAACACAGAATTAAAAGTTGTTGTGACCTGTGATCAATATGGACAGAAGAGACTTCTTTTTTCAGTGAAATACACTGTGTATGGAAGGACTTTGTTTTTAAAAGGGTGAATTGTGTTATTCTTTGTGCTGGATTGGGAAAAAAAAAAAAAAAAAAAAAAAAAAAAAGAGAGAGAGAGATTCTTCACTATAAAATGTACAAGATAACACCTTCTGGTGAAAACAAGTTAATTTGTCTGCAAAGACTGACAAGAAAAGTAAAATTAGAGCAAACAAATCTATTGCACTTCTGACACTGAAGAGTACATGAAAAAGGCTACAACTATAAGATCCCTGCTAGGAACGGTGTTACGAAGACACACACTACAATCTGACTTCAAGGGGAAGATTCACTTTTATAAACTGTAATTTCTTCACTATCCCTTTAGACTGTCCTGCCAATTTATACACTGTGATAAGAAAAAGGACCATAAAAATTCCTTATTTTTGCAGTGTATGAACTGCTTGATATTAAAGTACACACATATGAAACATGTTTTAGTCTTGCCAAAATGAGCCTAATATAGCCATAAAAGGCGAATTTTCTCTGAGTTCAAATAATCAAGACATTAGCTTCCTGTCTGAATTAAGTATAGTTCCCTGAAAACTGGCATTTATGTGCTACTGAGAACTAAAGAAAGTTTCAGAGTCATCTCAGTCAGCAAAGTGACCCTCTTTGGTTGTAATTTGAGAAGAGGGATTTCAGTTTTCAAAGCCTACGCCAGCTTATATAGGAACTTACCACAAGCAGAACCTGACTAAGGAATTTTGTAAGTGTACCTCTTTAATTAAAAAGGAAAGCATCAGGAATAAACCAAGTCTAAAAATAAGAATGTGCAAAGAAAGTTGCAAGCTTGGTCAAAACAACCAAAATAAAATAAAAAGCAGAGCATAAAAGCAACGTTCTGGGGTACACAAATTAGCAATCCTCATACACCGCATGAAACACTTGTTTAAACAGCACTTCAAAGCACAGAAAAAGCCAATGCACCAAAAAAATCCACCAGTAGATGTCACTGACATACTGAATTAGCAATTCCTTACCTTGACATCTTTTAGGGATACAAACTTCTCAATGCCTAGCTCAATCATGTCTAGGACATGATAGTCAAACATGCGACCTGCGAAAGTAAAAAAAGAAAACCCAGCTATTTAAATATTCATTGAAAACTAGAACCTTTCACCCAAATAAAAACCCAAGCGAGACACATTACCTAGTATCAGGTTGTTAGGTCGCTTCTTGTTATGAGAGCCAAACAGAAACAAAGAACAATCTGATTTCTTGGAAAAAAATTCCTACAATTGAGGAAAAGAACAAAACTCATGAGTTCCAGTTTGTAATGTTTAAAGTATCTGGTGAAGGTGTAAGTCACAAATACATGAGTTTAGGAGCTACTTAATGAGAAGAGCAACTGCACTTACCGGAAGAGTTTTGAGCATGTCCAGGTCCACAATAAGCTAAAATTGACAGCTGGATTCAAGGTTCAAATAAGAATTCATTTATTCTTTTTTTATTTATTTCCCATTGCAGTCTTAAAGATCAAGCCAGACAATTTTTTCTTCCCATTTTATCTGTAATGCCCTTTTCCGTAATTCCTCATTATTTGATTTTACACAAGATACCTTCAACCACTTCTCTTTGCCTGAAGAGTAAGTATTTGCAAGTTGCTGCAGTTGTAATGCCTCATTTTCGTTACCCAACTCAGTTTTATGCAGCACATTAGCTTTGCCTAACAGCTTCTGAACAACCAGTTAATTCCCTCAACTAACAGCAAGCCTAGGAACATCTGCAAATATCTAATGTTCTCACACCTGAGTACAAGAGTCCTTCTACCGAGCAACTCCACGTCAATTTATTATATAAGACTAAGATGCTACTTAAAACCAAGCCAGTGGTGACTATCATAGAGAAGATCTCTTCTCCAGCTAGGGTAGATAAAGAACCTATAACAGTGTTATGTCCAGAGCAAATATTACAGCAATTCTTTCTGAGTATGTCCAACTCCACCAACTTTTCGTGCACTGCTGCTTTGAAGGAAGGCCCTCATTCTGTCTATCAAACACAGTTCCTGCATACACACACACACACACACAATTTATCCAGTACTTTCCAGAAGTACCAGAGTTTCTGCATCTGCACTTAGCAGTTGTGAAGCAGAAAAAGCCACTGCATCTCCTTCCACCCCTGCAACAGCCGCAGCTCAGAGGACTTTGCAGCTCTGCCCCTCTGGGATGTCAGGAGAGACCCCCCCCTCAGGAGCAATCCTAGGCTGGATTAATTGCACGTACAAATCACACAGCTCAGCACTGAGCTCTGCCACCAGGTCCCTGAAAAACACTGACTGTAGATAGATCAAGAACAGAACCATCCCCCTGAAGCACTTGCTCATACAGCTCTGTTAATCGCTACATGCTGATATATGTAAATTCTCTAACAGCTGTATGATATTTTACTAGAAAGATGCAAGAAACTCAAACACCTCAAATGTGTCCTGCATATACTGCAACATCACATACATTGCAAAATTGCCCGTTTAAAAAAAAATGCCTGTAACCAAGTTAAAAAAACCACCTAACTTGATTTGACTTTCCACATCTTTCTAGGCTCTGATTATTTGTTGAATGTTCTCAACGACCCAACCCCATTGTTTTGAGGTTACAAGAATTATAGGACCCCTTTTTAAAATACCAGAATGATTTATTTTAGCTGCCATGTTTTCCCAGAAATTATCAGAAGTTTCAACCAGTGGTAAGCTGATTATCAGCTAGTTCCTATACAACTATGAGACCAAGTCATCCAGCTAGGGGATTGTAAGAGGCTTAGTTTCAGCAAATAACGTCACAAATCTTTCCTCGCTGCCTACAATAAGTTTTCCATTCCACTCAGGATATTTTAGGGATGGCTGCAGTACTGTGCTTCATTACAAGAAGAGAACAGAAGCACATATTACAACACTTCAGCATCAGTATTAATGCAGATTAAGTAACTTTCTATGTTGGCGTATCTATGCTGCAACCACAGTGACTTTTTTGTTCCTAACACATAAAAAAATGCTTTAACTCAACCACCCAATACAACTTCAGCAACTCCTCTAGGACTCGCTATTGGCTGCCTTCACTTTTTTAGAAAGGATCCTTAATGATCATTAAGGCTATCTCTCCCATCCTCTCCTGTTTTATTTACTGAGAATTCCTTATATATGTTTCCCCTTTATTTTCACAATCCCTTTCAGACAAGAAAGTGGATTTGTGCCCAGTGTATATATGATTTTTTTTTTTTCTTCACACGCAGATTTACTTAATACAATGCCCCCAAATTCCCAAGTTCAGTGCGGTTTTTCAGTGAGTTATTTCAACAACTGCCTCACACATCGGAAAGCTGACCCTTTTTTCCCTATGTGAGTCAGCAGTGGCACAGAGCAAACATTACCAAATCATGATCACTGGGAACCAAACAACTTACTTGGGGATAATTCATTTTTGTCTTTACTGTAAAACCACAGCTGTACATCACTATCTCCTTTCTCTCATTCTGTTGAAGGAAATAAATATACTGGTTTTGTGACAAACGTTTTTCAGTGGTTAAAGTAATGCTTTGACTGAAGTGCAAATGTGTGAGATATAATCTTAGGATTAGCCCCTCTATTTTTGGCCTTCCTGCTCATAAATTATCTTGACCTTAAAAGCACTGAATCAACACCAAATCTAGACAGGTGCATATGACCAAAGGTACTTCTAAACACACACCCCCTTCCAAAATACCCTCAAGCTTCTGAAGAGCCACTTTTGCAAGCTCTTTGCAGGCCAAATACACCTATTTAAAGGAAATTGCACATTTTTCGGACAGCACTTGACTGAATGTTGGAACAGAACTCCCAGTGACCATCTCACACTAGCACAGCTGATGCATGTGTTTGCTTGCAGTACTCTGCTGGGTTTTTATTGCTCTATTCAAACATGAGGCAGTCACAGAAAGCTATGACCCCTCCATTTAACTATTTTAACCTACGAACTCACCAAATTGAAAACAAGTTGTTCATAAGCTGTGACACTTTAGAGGACTGACTTTTAGAAAACAAACAAAAAAATGCTTTATTCTTCCTTTCATATCAAGCACTGTTACTTATAATAGTGTTACAGACTCCTACATTTGCCTGTCAGTTTACAGAAACGTGCATTTAAGGTAAAGACAAAGTCCTCACAACACGACAATTCTGTCTTGCAGCCAGAGGGAAAAATATGCCTACTGACACCACAGCCCTGCCTTCAACTTATCCAAACTCCCCATAGACTTTGTTTCTCATCTAGTTGCTCCTGGAATAAAAGCAAATTATCCTCCAAGAAATTTCTTCATGACCTGAAGGCTGTAAAATGTCAGAAGACATTTGGTTTATACTTACCAATGATGTTTGATCCTCAAAAGGCCTAGTAATATTTTTCCTGAGAGAAGAAAATAAAAAAATTAAAAAAAAACCAAACAGGCACAGATAAACACTTCTAATTAGTTCTCTGATAGCATTAAAAGTCTGCATTCTACTGGAAACTCCAGCAGTAGAGGTTCAGTTTTAGTTCAAACCATAGGCCACATTATTACTGCCAGTAGCTCCTTAGTGCTGCTGTTGCCATTTTAAGCGCTTTCCTCCATGTTTCCCGTCTCCTGAGACCTGACTTCCAGACCACCACCAGTGACACTTCATAAACAACTGCCTTTGCTTGTTCATCCAACATTACATTTGCACTGCACCATACAGATATTGGGTTCCCATTTTGAGCAAGATACATCTATCATTATAATCTGTAACTCAGATTTATAAGAATTGGGATACGAGAACTCCAGCCTACCCACCAGACACAGAACCTCGCTAGCTGCTTGCACTGATCAGTCAGAGAACCCAGCTTATTCGAGTTTGCTGAATACTGCTTTGTAACATTTGGCACAGAACTGGGCTCAGCACCAACACTGATCACATGTAGCTTGTTTCCAGTCTGCTGAAATTTATGACGAATCTGTCACCTTCTGCAACCCGCTCTCCATTGTTCAAGCCCCCACACTAGCCAGCATCTCTACCCACGCTTTGAAATTACCAAAAGCTGTCTTGTCAGAAGACTCAAAGACGTCAAAGTGAGACCACTTACTTTTTATACAGTACAGCAAAAGGCTTCTTCACAGCATACTGCAAAAGGCAAAGTTAAACACATGTTATCTTTAATACATTTAAGTACACAGCACTGCTTTTTCTAAAGCCCTACAGGTTACACGATCACATGAAATAGAGTAATTGTTCGTGCAAATCAGTCTAGAAAAGAAGTCACTTCAAAAGGTCTGCTCACAATAATACTCTCTGAGTTAATAGTACTAAGCTTGGTTCCAAATTAATTGCAGAAGGACTTATTTCCAGAAACTAAGAAATAACAAAGTAACTGAGAAACAATTGAAATCAAAGCCATGTGATGGAATCTCTGCTTCTTGGGGCGTAAGGAAAACCAGGGAGTGAACAAGCACCTGACTATCATCAGCATAAGATGGAAAGAAAACGACAAAGCAAGGAGAGAAAAGAGCATAGGAACAACTACAATATTTTCAGGTAAGGAGTCAGGATTGGCAAGTTTAAGTTTTAGGAGAGGTTGAAAGCCCTATATCAATACACACAAGCAGTTTACAGGATTCTGGGATGTGACTTCAGCTGAGTGATCCAGTCCCAATTCTGTACCTAATCCTCTTGTTTTCAAATGTACTTGTAACACTTCACCTTATATACTAGACAATCGTGGCAAAAAATAATAACAAAGGGAATAAGCTCAGAACTTCTGGTAAAGAAGAAACTGGAAGAAAATAATCTCCATCAAGGGGTATGTAATGACACCTTTGGAGTACTGGTCAATCTGGGATTTGGGGAACGAGAAGAGTATGAAAATATCGATCTCGCAGCAGAGAATATGCAAATCGTAAGAAAAGAGAATACTTTGGTGTAGCGCAAAAGGTTATATAATTAAAGGTTGCATACTATGTCCAACTTACAATGTCTTTAAGCACTTCAGTCACTGTCGAGTTTGCATTTCCTCCTTTTATGAGCATAGCATTTTTCGTATTTTCTTTAAGTTTGGGTTCTCTCTTCTCAAGAAATCTTTTTGCTCTCTTAGTTTTAGGCTTTCTGCAACAACCAATTAACAGGTAAAAACTTAATATTAAGTAACAACACCCGACAGCACAGAAAACAGTAAAACAAAACAAGAATTGGAACAAGCTGGTTTTAAGTAACTTGCTTCAGTGACGCAGACTAATCCCAACCTGCAGAATTACAATCAGTGCTAAAAGCCCCGTCTCAGATGAATGTGTTTTACTGCCACTCTTCTCCCTCTCTGTCCCAAGTGAGCAAAGGTGACTTTACAGCCTTGGGCTTTTCGGCTTCTGCTAACTTAGAGCTTAAGCTATACCAGAATTCCGTCAGCCTACTGACAGGCCGAAAGCTTCCCCTCACGCCAGCTCCCTCCCCAAGTCAGAGACTCGTATAGGAGAAGCAAAGTTCCTCAGAGACCACCAAAGGGCATCCAAAAGAAAAGCTCGAGCACGGCGTATCTCTTGGCACAAACCGGAGAGCAGGGCCCTGCATTGTTTAGGTGAAACACACCAGCCTTAGCAAGGCCACAGAGCTTACGTGAAGTGATAACTACACAGCTTAAGAACTATGTTTCTCCACTAGATGAATGTAAAGCCTTTGCTGTTGTCTCCGTGAAGCACTGTGTTTATTCTCTTTTTAAAAACAACAAACCAACCCACCCCACGGAGGTACTTCCACCTACAGACGAAGGCCGTCCTTTCAAGCGCACAGAAACGCAAACACCCAACGCCAGCTGGTCACCACGCTTCCTTTAAGCTACCGACTGAGCAAGGGCTGCCTTGCCACCGACAAGAAGACAGCAGCGCTCCGTTTTCCTCCTTCCCGCGGGCCTTTTCTCTCTGCCGGCCTCCCGCCTTGAAACCCTCCCCA